CACAAACCAGATTAACTCTCTCTTCTATGTCTATATGACCATCCCATGCTTTCATGCCTGAATTTGCCTTACGTTACAAAATACCCTTCCTCCTTCACAAAATATTAGGCTATACACATATAAACTGTTTATGAGAAGGAGGCCTTAAGATACAGATTATTTAACTTAACGTTTAGTTAATAACATGTCGATATCTATCTCTAAATCCCCATGATTACGATTAAGGATCATCCTGTAATCTTTCGCATTGTCGTTCAATCTCAAGAATTGAAAGTGGAGTGATGAGGTAAGGCAAAACAACACGTGGACGATCTGCCAAAAAGGGGTTCCAATGGACTTTCATGCTTCTATTTCACGTGAAGACTTTCCGAAAAACTCCACGTTAGTTGTGGGTTCGCACGTGTTGGTGGGTCGAATCTCATTCATTATATTAAAGTGGTTTATACACAAAAACAACATAATGTAAAAATTAATCAAATGAATTATTAGAGCATCTTTTAACAAATATAATTATTCCATATGACGAGAGAATAGTGAATGTATCAAATAAAAGTCAACCAAGAGAATGTCTATGAAGCATGTAAGTAGATTAGAGACAGCATTTTCGATCGAAATTTTTGGAGCGAGGAAATTTAATCGAATAAGTAAAAAACTTTAAATAACATCCATTGTTATTAGATTAAAAATTGTCTATCGAATTATAATAATCCAATTGAAAATAACTAATAAATCAAAAGAAAGTAAACCAATTTTCAAGAAGAATAAATAATATAAAATTATTAAACAAGATAAGTTTTGTTTAATTAAAAGTAATTTTAAAAGTTTAACAACAACAGAGAATACTAATTTTCGAAAAATCTATAAAGAAAACTAATTAGAAAAACGAAAACGTTGTAGACAGTAGCAGCAACCATTGACGTTTTGCATTCGTAATTATTTCTTATTGTTTAAAGTCTTACGAATATTAAATAATCGTTTTTTTTTAAGATAAAATTATTATTATTTTTGTCTTTCTTTCTCAGTATTGTCAACACTACTGTACAGAATATATTCTTTCTCAGCTTAGCAATGATTAACACCACTAAAAAATGATAGTTGGTCGCGAGTTCGCACCTCACCAACGAGCTAGCCAAGTGGAGCTTCCTGTGTTTTCTTCACGTGTATAAAATATAAACAGAGGTCACTTCGTACCAAAAAAAAATCTTTCCAGAAGGCATATAGTCCACGTGTGATGTTCCCTTACCCATCAATTCAATCCAATCTTTCTCACTTTTTCCGTATATTCTATTATTTGAGTATAATTTGTCAATTCATTCATCTATAAATTCAAATTTTTTGTCGTTTTGTTTTGATTCTTATTTGTGTATGGCAACGCGACTCGAGATGTAATTTCTATAGGAAACTGGCCCCTATTTAGGTGATACAAACGTGAAGAAAATTCAGAAAACTCCACGAGGTCAGCTTGTTGATAAGGAAATTACCAGTATTCAATGGTATTATCAATTCGGACACTGATGAGCTTAAACCTTTATACAGATTTGCAGTGATCTGCTAAAACTCAGTTTTTGATTCTCTTCTCTATGGGTACTAAATGGTCTATTTTCCATGCCCATTAAGAGTTCGGCCAAGTCTACAATGGAAAAGGAGGACGACCGGTTTTTGAGGGAAGAAATATGAAAAATTCGCTGTTGCTCGCCCTCCAAAATCAAATTTCAGTATCAATATGAAAATATTTATATTTAATTGTTTATATGGTCACAATTTAATTTTCTATTTTTTTAAACTATGAAACTTGATGGTACAGTAGCAGTCGTCCCCCCTATAACACTGTTGATAATTCCGTTTTATATGAATTCCATGTTGTACGAGTCACTTAGATTTTACAAATACGTGAGCCGTTCACAGCCCGACACACGTATTTTCTAAGTGACTCGTACAACATGGAATTCATATAAAACGGAATTATCAACAGTGTTATAAGGGTCGACTGTATATAACAATGAGAAAGTATGGCGATCGGCCAAAAAATTACTCCAACATTTTTATTATATTTTTCGGCTCAGGACACATTGAAATGTTGAGAAATGCAAAAAATTTCGGGGGTTTTTCTGTTTGTATAGATGTTAGTGTAAGCATTCCCATATCTAACAGACGTGTCGAGCATTTCCCGAAACAGTTTCAGTGCAGTAAATACAAATGGGTTGTAATCTGTCCACTGTTCTTTTCCATCATTTAATTAATGAAATGTAAACTGCCAAACGTTTCATTCTAGGAGTTTTCTATTTATTTCCACATATATATCGCAGATATCTCTCTTTATTTTTGCATGCAAAGTCGTATGTTTGACAGACCTGTCAAAAATTAAACACAACAAATTCGGTTAATTTAAATTCGAGTAACAAATTTATTTCAGTAAATACTTTATAGAAAATTGTATAACTTCTTTACGGTTCTGTCACAATCTGATAACATTTGAACTGGCAAAAGTTTCTTTTATATTTAAATGAGTTAATGGCAGATTCCTTGGATTAAAAGACGGTGTACCAGACACATCCTTACTCCAACAATGTTATATGGTCAGTCCAGCCACCTCACCGTTTGTGACTCCGGAAAAAATCCGGATGATACTGGTGACTCATTGTTTAACTTGTATTCCTCCGCGGTGAGGTGAAGGAATTATGCGACGATGAACCAGATGCCCACACTCACACATACTGTACATTTCCCACTTGGGCATCAGGTAATATCACACACATAACATGTTTCTGTGTACCCAGCCCTTTCGTTAAAACATCAGTAGGCATTTTTTTTTTTCATTTGGACAGTACGCTAAACTTACCTGCTTTGTCGCTGCTAAATCTTAATATATTGGTACCCAATATCAAAATGCTTTATACGTTTGTGACTTCCTTGTTTTTCTGCCACAGGGAATGAGACGCAAATGGATGCTATATTGTCACTAAATATTATAATATTTTTATCTGGAAATGATGGTATCATTTTCAACAACTTTTTTAAATCCATATTGCTTCGTTACCAGTTTCGGCAAAAGCAATAAATTCGGCTTCGTAAGTTGACTGAGCAGTGACGTGTTACTTGCTGCTGCACCAGCTTATTAACGATGCTTCCAATTCAAATCTGATTTGGACTGTTTCAATTTTAATTGCAAGAGTCTATTCTGTATAATTTTTGCCATACCTTGCAGGTTGCTTTAGCCTTTAGAGTGCCTTCCAATTGAGGGACGACACACGTTTCCCAACACACTGAATGTGAAATAGTTTTAGAAGAAATCAAAGCTTGAAGTGCACTAACTGCGTCAGTATAAATCACACAGAAACGATGACATTTTCTCCTTATATGTTTTAAGGTTAAGTAGATAACCTGCAACTCTGCAGTAAAAATACATGCCTCAGAAAAATTTGATCTATTTCGATTTCATAATAGTAGACAAACGCTGAACCAACGCAATTCCCTGATTTAGATCCATCCAACTATATGGGAATTAAATTCCTATTAATTCCTGTGATGGATCTCTGCAAATTGCAGTCTGTATACATAGTCTGATTTGAGTCAATCGTTAAGTCATTTATGACCTTGGCTTGGAGGAATATGATCGATGAAAAACGCGCGGAGATGTTACTGCTTGACTGTTTTGTCATGTTAGATGCATTGTCGTGCTCGTCCTTATGTTTCAAACCCAGGCTGCTTCAAATGTCAAATCCAACTTTTCCTTGTGACCAAACACCAATGACCAAAAACTGCTGCATTAAATTGTTTGTTAAACATTTGTAGTCATTCATGAATTTTCATGATACAGGAGAATATTTCCTGAGATTCAGGAGAATATTTCCTGAATTTTCAAGATTCAGGAAATATTCAAGATACATTTTCCTGCTGGAATATTCCAGCAGGAAAATGTATCTTGCCATCGGGATAAAATTCTCTAGAAATGGTTTGAGGAGCATTCTGGACAGTTTCGATGACGTGGCCACCATATTCACTCAACATTAATCCAATTAATCACTTGTAGAATGTGGTGGTGGCATCCATGATCCTGCACCTACAAATACTAGGGGACTGTGGGCAGATATTCAGATAGCAATATTTCTCGAGTTTTCATCCATTTGTGAAATCGATGCCACATCGAATTCACAAATGGATGAAGACACAGGGCAACACGATTCTAGGTAGCTATTCCATGACTTTTGGCATATGAATGTATTTACATGAAGCTTATGTAAATTTTCCCCCCGTGCCCAGAAACATCTCTTGAATCCGAAGGTATCTCCAAAGGATGGTTTAAAGATATTTTATTATTATCTCCCCCTCGATATGGGTTGTGTCATAAGCATAAAACATACCGAACATTCATCTTCAACGAATGCCATCCTTATCAACCAGCCAACATTGTTTATAATGTTCTGTTACCGTATCTTCTGTTACCGCAGGATATCTGTATAGTATAGTTTCACCATAAGTACCAGAACCACTGCGCTCTTTCTAATGTCAGAATATTGACCATTCGAAGATAACTTGCCATGGTAAAAGTATAAACTCAAAGTGTGCAACTTAACGTCATTAGTGATACTCCAAACTGTGCTAATTGCAAAACAGCCCATCCTGCCTATTCCTAAACGTGTGCTGAATGACAACAAGTAAAAGAGATTCCACACATCAAGATAAATAACAGTTTGCAACGCCTTACAGAGAGTAGCATGGTTGTTGCAACTGAAAGAAACAAATGGCATATGATGCTGCATTGATACCTACACAGAACTGTCTGGTTCAAACGGATATTTCTATTTCCTGAAAGGAGTCTCTACGTCATCATGAAAAACACTTATTGACACACGCTAATCTAACAGCATAAAAAGGAAGTTACCAGGACACCAAAACGTCCAGTAAAACACCAGTAAATAGGAACGTGGCCTCAGAAAACGAAAACAAATACCCGTAAAATAAACAAAAATGAAGGGTTTAGAAGTGATAGTCATGAATTAAATATACATTTAATATATGAACAGAATGAAAATGGCAGATTTCACTACTTTATACGTCAAATTGAAGTAGTGTTTTAGCATAATGACAAATAAATGATTAGATTAATCTTTAATTGCTCAAGGATAATTTAGTCTTTAACATTGGTTTCAAAAGACGATAAGGCAAAGTATTTATCAAACCAAGATTTTAATTATTGATTGACTAGCCGTAACAATAAGCTTGTGACAATCATTCATTGCTACAATTGTTTATCAATCTGAAGAAACATGAATACAGACGATAGTTTGATTGACGTGCAATGTGTCACTGGGGAAATATTCAAATTGTCCAGCAATAGTTTGAAGAGACACAGTATATATCTATTCAACAGAATAGAATGTTTTCCTCATTTACAAAATTGCACCATTAGACTAAAGTTGTCTTATCTAACCACAGCAAGAATTGTAGAGTAAGCTACGTATAATAATTTACGAATAATCATAAATAAAGTATTAACTGCTTGACTACTAATTGCTAAATTAATCTTTCACGTGATTTTGACAGGTTTATGACCAATGGTGATCCTTTTCTGACATCTATTGATAACGCAATGGAGGTTTATGTAGTGAGCAAAGAGTTCGAAATTCCAGAACTGTTTAAGCAATGTCGTAACTTTCTCGTAACACTAATGACAGATACGAACGTCTGTCGGATACACGATTTTGCATGCGAACAGAGTGACACGATATTACAATATTATTGTTGGAAAATGTTCGATTCCCACTGGGAAACAATCTTAAATGGCGAAGACTTTCTTCATTGCAAAGATCAAACTATCGAAAGATTCGTATCTCGTCCGATATATCCTGAAAATTTAACAGAATTTGTTCTGTTTTCCGCAATATACAATTGGGCGAAATTAAGAGTTAGAGACAAAGAAGAATCTAACGAAAATCTCGATGACTTTACCATAGGAGAAACATGTCGTGCTATCTTAAACCCGTACCTTTCTCGTATTAGATTTTTGGTTATGGACTATGATAATCTGGAATACATTTTTCAGCAACTTCACGTACTTAAACCAAATGAATTCAATGCAATACGTGATTATCCGATTAATGAGGATTTATCAAATTTTCCAACAATTAGTGAGAAGACTGCAAACAGATTACAAGAATCGTATACTGACGAAAATTTTAATAACCCACTCTTTATATATAAAAATCGCAGAAATTTAGGATCTACACGTATCGGACAATTACTGATGCGCAAGTTCTTCGCTTGCCACGTAGTAGTTACGGAAGATTGCTTTATTGAAAGTTTGCAGTTACCCATCACGCATTGTAATGTAGAAGGAATTTTGGTGAACATTCAAGGCATCGTAGGAATTAATTCCACTTTAGTCAACCTGGAATCTTTGACGTGCCGTACTGATGGACTGATCATTTTACAAGAACCGATATTTTTGGAAAGGAATTCTAACGCTTATCTGGAAGCTTCTATTCCGATAGAGGAACTGACAATAGAAAATTCAGTTCTATCATCGTGCAATGCGGATAGTTATATTAATGATCTGTATTTGTCGGAATTGTCGCTGTTTGGAAAAGGACGTAACACAGAAGATTGGGATATCTTTTATTTCGATGTAAATTTATATTTTTAGATATCAAAAACCGTTTAATTTTATATAATTTGAAAATTTCTTGTGTAATTTTGAATTAACTCAGCGCCATGCTTCAACTGTAGAAGGGTAAACAAAGGTCAATATAACTTCTATGGTTTCAGACTTATAGAACACTCTGAATGTTTATAGAAACTGCATATGAGTATTTTTATTAATTCATATTAATACGAATTTAATGTCGTGAGCTTTACCCACCCCGGAATTGAACGATCTATTGGCGCTACGTGTAAATCGGCAAAGCGAATGAAGATAGAAATTAATTGATTTACAGAAGTTCAATAGATATTTTGGAGTGGGATGTTAGACATTATCTAAATTAGCTATATACAAACGTAACATTGCAATTGGTGAAACGGCCTAGCCGTCTATAGCAAACAAACAACCAAACAAACATCCACACAATCTCATTTATATATACATATTAAATATAAACTTAATAACAATGAAACAACAAGAAACAACAGGTTATTTAAAAGTAAAATAATAATAAATAATCAGATCTCTTTGTACACAGTGACTTTCAGAAAGTCCTGTAGCGTGTCAAAATTTCGCCTCTGGCCCAAAATTTCCAACAAACTTCTATTTTTAAAGTACTGGGTACGAGTTCTCTAGATTTAATTCCACATTACATTTCAAACTTTCTAGCGGCAATTTTTCTCTCGTTCCATTCTTCTTCCCCCTTCTTAAATAGTACATGTACCAATTTTGGTTTCATTTGGGTTATTTTTTCCAGCTATCGACAGCTCCAAATAGAGATAGCCTACTTATTTTAAAAACACCCGACATATACGGAAAATAAATCCAAATCTCTCATCAAATTGAAAGACCAAATTTAAGTGATAAATATATCAGATTCTAATTGTAAGATAGAAACAATAATAATTAGAGCGACAGAAACACTGCTCGTCAACACTGAACCCCTATAGTTAAGCCCTTTGTTGCATGCAAATGTTATATTTAAAAAAAAAACAAGCAAAGAAACAAAATGGTTTATATCCAACGACATATAACTATTAGACCTCTATTATATTTATGATGAGCGGAGTGTGCAGCATCAAATAAATAAAATAAATAAATAAATAATCTATTCTCCCTCACTACTGGTTCCTTTCATCCGTATCATTTGCTGTTTTATTCAGATGAAGCTCAAATGCCCGACCAACCACATCAGATAATCAGGCTCATCGTGATGTTTCTGTAAGACAAATATTCACAGAACTTCTTTATTTTAAAGGTCAACAAATTACGTTTATTGATGAGTTATTGCATTTGAAAATATTAATACGAGGATCTCCATAAATTATGTCCGCATTTTTCTTCAAATTTTTACTCCTTCTTCCCCTCTTGTCCCAATTTTTCCAAGTTTCCGTAACCGAGAGGGTATTACCGCCCGGCCATCCGACCACATCATTCATCAAATCTTAAAATCTTCACGTTCTCAAGTTTATTCACATAAACTTGCTAAACATTTTAATCTCTACTCCTATTTACGCTGTTGCTTTCCTATGTTACGAGACTAGTACACTTTCAGAATATATTTTTATCGATACTTGGACAAAAATATACATATACTGTATATATATAATTCTAATGCTTAAAATTCTAGCTCCTAGTCTGTCTATATGTAAAATCTGAATCGTATGAAGAACATAATGTATCTTCACGTTAATATACGTTTCCTGTTCTCCTGTTACCTGGCCATTGTGTGTTGGTGGTACTGTACATCGGGGATAGAAATGGAGTTTAATTTATAAGTTGAGAGTGGAAAATCTCCTAACTGCTGAGTATAAAATACAAAAATATTCCGATTAAACACTTACCCGAGACGAACTCGGACAAAATCAAGCAGGTAAATCGTATACTTGATGCAATGATGATCCTTATTCAAACTGAACGTATTCAGTTTCTCCACTTTTCATATTTATCCATACTTTTTGCGCTGATCTGGAATGTGAAAAACAAGTTTAATTATTTATTGAAAACCTATATCTGAATTTGAATTTTATCAGAACATATTGAGAGTACAATATGAAGGTTCGGCTGTATTTATATTGATTAAATCGAACTTTGTTTGTACTGACATACACAGAAACTTACCTCTTGACTGGTTACCATACTGCCTTGAAGAAAGATCCGGCTTTTTTCAATGCCTTTCTATTTCTAATAGCACATCCGATAGTGTAGCTAATAGTATAGCCAAAACTATTCTGCGTGCTATCTTCTTGCTTTCTGAAATCTTTATCCATTTTCATCTTAGTTGGAGGAACCATAACGTTATTATCCAATCCATACTCCTCCTTATCTTCAACCAATCGCTCACTAAAAGCGGAAAAAAAGAATTTCGATGAATACGTAGCCGCCTGTACCTTTTCTAGTGTAGATAGGTATAGATAGATATAAAAATAATTATCATCATTGTGTTACATATATGAAGTGACCATATATTCATCGCCTAAACAAGGAGAGTTTTGAACAATGAGAGAAAAACGTGTCTAAAAATGACTAAATTTATTTTTAAAAATCCAGCAACGAATTGCTAAACTTTCCCGGCGACATTTGGTGGTTCCATCTGTTACGATATTTTATTAAAAACTTTTTATATTTTTAACTATGACATGGTAAAAAGCTTAATTTTGAGGGTAGCGATGGGTTTTATAAAAGATTTGTAAATGCTAACAAAGAGTAAAATTATCATTAGAACTGACCCTACTCGAGATAAGACACACGATCCCTTTTATCTCCCCATTCCTCGACATTTAACCACCAAAATTTAATAGCATCGATATTCCTAATACACAATTTCTGTTTAAAGCCATTAATTTTTCGAATGAATTTCTTATTTGCATAAATAACAACAAAATGTGAAAAATTTCTTATCCCAAGGGTGAAGGCAAGGGTCGATAATCGCTAGAATAAAAAGCATTTTTCAATCACTCGAAATCGCACTCTTCGCAATAAGAGCAATACAATGAAAGGTCAATTGTTGAGTTTATTTGTTACGCGTTAATTGAAGAAGATAGAAAATTTTAATGATTATTATTGGTTTTTTTTATTTTTTGAATATTACACACGGACAGGTATGTAATAATAATTAAAGAGTGATGATCGTGGCAGCAAATGTCTCGGCTCACCTCTCTGAAGGAGTCGGGATCAAATTCGGGCGAGCATGTCTTCAAGAATTTTTCTAGAAAGCTCTCTCCCAGATACATTGAGCCCCGTCCTTCACCCTTGTGGGTATGGTCTAACCCACAATAAACAGGATTGAAGGCTTTTTAGAGTTGCCCAACAGTGGCCGAATGGAAAAACCACTGAACATTTGTAGTTTTTCGATAGTTTGTGCCTCGCCAAAGAGCTGACAATGTAGAATTTTCCGGGTTTTCTTCATGTTTGTAACACCTAAATAGGGCCAGTTTCCCACTGAACATTCTCCCAAGAGGCACGCTTCTTCTCGTNTTATTGGTTTTTATTAATTTTTGAATATTAAACACGGACAGGTATGTAATAATAATTAAAGAGTGATGATCGTGGCAGCAAATGTCTCGGCTCACCTCTCTGAAGGAGTCGGGATCAAATTCGGGCGAGCATGTCTTCAAGAATTTTTCTAGAAAGCTCTGTCCCAGATACATTGAGCCCGTCCTTCACCCTTGTGGGTATGGTCTAACCCACAATAAACAGGATTGAAGGTTTTTTAGAGATCCCCAAAAGTAGTCGAGTGGAAAAACACTGAACATTTGTAGTTTTTCGATAGTTTGCGCCTCGCCAAAGAGCTGAAAATGTAGAATTTTCCGGGTTTTCTTCATGTTTGTAACACCTAAATAGGGCCAGTTTCCCACTGAACATTCTCCCAAGAGGCACGCTTCTTCTCGTGTCGTGTTGCCATATACAACTAATGCAATTTCTTTTCATGTTCACATGGCAAAAAGAGTAATATTATTAATGACAATAGCTACATCTGAACCTGCATCTGTGCAATAATATTACTATATGCAGTGTTGCTGTTGATGGCAGTTTATTAATCAATTATTGTACAATAAATAATAAAAATTGCTGCAACATAGTTCAATTATATTAATGCAAATAAGAAGTTTACAGGTTTCAGTCGCAATTGCATGCTGTATCATTCACTAATCATTTCGTATAAAGAGAACAAATCTTTATTTAGCAACACGGCAATGGCAGCTCTCTTTTCGCCTCACATTCATACGCGTTTACACCGTTCATACTACTATGACGACACATTTATCGCTTACGACAACCAATCATTTTTAACCCAAATTAAACCAAAATTGGTACACTATTTAAGAAAAAGGAAGAAAAATGGAAGTAGAAAAAATTGCCTATTGAGGACGGTGTAGGACCTGTCGTTTCAATCACTATTGTAATCAAATGTGTACCATGGAGGTATCTCAGACCTAAATGCTTTTAAATTAAAAGATAGCAATATGTGTGGAGCATCTCTCCTGAGCGTTACATTCCAGTTAAATAAGTATGTCTTGCACTGCCTGAAATACCGGGATATACCGTAGTCCAGTACAATGGACATATCGGTATTGTGGAACCTAAACGGAATCGTCAACGCCATGCGACAGCGTAACCATATTAACTGTGACATTTTAAAATAAATACCGGTAGACCATCAGTTTTTGCACCTTAATTCTTTCTTCTTGTATTACACTAGTGTTCCGCAACCGGTGTGACGTAAACGTTTACATATTCTATTAATTTCAAGTTTTATTTATATATTTTTATCATACTTGCTGTGTTTTATATGCTTGTATTTAATCCTCTGCCGCAGCACTGATGAAATAACACGATGTTTGTTTATTCTTTATTACAAGCCACGCATTTTTATGTTTTCTAAGAAATTAAATGTAAAATAAATTTGCTCACAGGCGTTAGTCTGTTTAATAATAATAATAATTATAATAATAATAGGTTCGCGGCATTATGTAATTCTATTAATAGTATTATATAATACGTTTTTGAGGAAAATAACATTTTGGTGTGCTCCTATGCTCTTCCTCTAGTCTCCTTATTAATTGTAGTTGGAAAATTTGGCGAATCGACATTAATCCAATAATCACGTATTGCTTGAATTTCATTTGCTTTCAGTAAATGTAGTTTCTCGAAAATGTATTCCAGTTTAACATTATTCATGGTCAAAAACCTGATGCAAGATATATAGGGGTCTAAGATAGCACGACATCTTCCTCCGATGATAATGTCATCAAGATTTTCGTTAGATTCTTCTCTCCCTCTAATTCTTAATTTCGCCCAATTGTATAATACGATAAACAGTACAAATTCTCTTAAATTTTCAGGATATATCGGAGGAGATAAGAATCTTTCGATTGTTTGATCTTTGCAATGAAGAAAATCTTCGCCATTAAACTTCCGTTGCCTTTTCAATCGACGTCAGAAAAGGATCGCCATTTTTGATAAAACTGTAAAAATTAAATGATATTTTAACTTAGCAATTAGTCGTCAAANATTGCATGAACAGTTCCGGAATTTCGAATTCTTTGCTCACTACATAAACCTCCATTGCATTTTCAATCGACGTCAGAAAAGGATCGCCATTTTTGATAAAACTGAAAAGTAAACGAAATTTTCAACTTGGCAATTAGTCGTCAAACAGTTAATTAATATTTTATTTATGATTATTTATAATTTAATATGGCTTACAGTATAATTCGTGCTGTGGTAACATAAGACAAGCGTAGTCTAATGATGGAATTTTGCAAATGAGGACAATACGCTACTCCATTGAACAGATAATTCCTGAGTCTCACTAAACAGTTGCTGGACACTTTGAATATTTTCCCAGTAACACAGTGCACGTCAATGAAATTATCGTCTGTACTCGTGTTTCTTAGATTGATGAAAGACCAAATTTCATAAACAATCCAATAAAACTATTGTAGTAATTAACGATTGTCACACGTTTATTGTTACGACTGATTAATTAATAAGTAATTACATAACGAAAAATAAAATATTAATTTTGTAAATAATATAAGCTGTATTAGATGGTCTTTCAAAATTTCTAATGACAGAATTAGTAAAGTACATCTAAAGATAAACTTAATTATTCTCCAAACAAATTGATGTGTGTTACACGCACGGCCACTGTGAAACTGTCATTATTTAGAGTTCGAATTTCACGAGGATATGATTGCTGAACGATTTTATTGACTTGCCTCAAACGGTTACAGAATTTTGTACGTTACCTGACGTGTTTAATGTACATTCTTTGGGTACATTCTGTATTCAGGGGTGTTAAGTGACTTTCTTTCCCACCCTGTATATTACAAAATAATCTGAACGTTTCTGTATTGAGGAAATTTTTGGCATTATCTGAAACATCGATTTAAAAAGTTCGCAATAAGTGAAGTTATTACCTGATTTCTTGACGTTAATTCTTTTATAAGTTGTACTTATAGATATTTCACAGCCAAAGTTTTTATGAAGTCGAAACAACGTCGAGTTGATCTGTATGAATTTTTCTAATTATTATATCTAATAAAAGTGGCATAATGTCCTGTAGTGTTTTTTCCAATATTTGAGAGATCATCATTGAGAAAATAATGGCGTATTTGCTTGAACTTAGTCTGATTTAAAAACACTTAATCAGTAAAAAATATACTCCAAACTCGGCCACTAATAGAAAAACTATTAGTGGAAAATCTACTAAACACTATTAGTGGGTTTACGCTGATCAACAGGGTGGAAGCGTAGAATGTTCGGAATTTTCTCCACGTGTCTACGCATGAATTGGGGGAGTTTCCCTTAAAAAGTCCATCGTGGAGGCCTTTTTTTCTTAGAGGTTTGCTTCCAGAGTTTAGAAATTATAGATTCAAATCAGAACAGATTGTATTATAATAAACTATTATAATAAACTCGAGATTTTTTATTTCTGAATTCTAATAAGCGCTTTCCAGTAGCGGAGTGCGTCAAGCCACTGAACTCTGGCAGTTAGTCGGGGGTTCGGGCATGGCCGACGGGCTAAAGTTTTTTTGTGATTTTTTACATTAATAACACCTAAATAGATTCTAGCTTCTTATAAAATAAAAGTCTTCCTGGGATGCATTCCCCTCGTGATATCGCTGACGTGTCGCATTGCCCTAACCAAATAAACAAAAACTAATTCTAACCAGCAATTATTTATTGTGACGTCGTCGCAATGCCGGGCTGCAACTTTTCGTCACAACATTCTCGATTCGTGTAGTGGCGTCTTCCTCCTGTACTTTATAGATGTCCTGTTAGCAATAGAGTTGTGCCGGTTATCTATCTAACTACGTTCAGGAAAAAGTTTTATATTGATGTAACGTGACTTCTGGTTTGCATCTGATATTCATATATAGTTAATCTGGTCCTCCTGATCCAAGGCATATCTGGTCTCGACTTTCGTCTATCTAACAGCTTTCTCGAGATTAATTAAATACATTACGAGAAGACAATAAAGAGTGTATAAATGATATAGGAGAATTCATGTTTTTCAAATAGCTAAGAATAATAATGGTAAGCTTTGGATGCGCTTAAGTAATTCTGTCATTCGAATAGATTTTGGAAATATCATAAAATAGACATGGACATAAAAACAAAGTACTGGTTTTTTACAAAACCAGTATTTTGTTTTTATAATCCAATGCAAACTAATTGATTAGCCGTAACAATAAGCGTGTGACAATCGTTCATTACTCTAATTGTTTTATTGAATTCTTCATGAAATCATGTCATCAATCAATCAATCATTTAATCAACCAATCATGAGTACAGAAGACAATTTGATTGACGTGCAATGCGTTACTGGGGAAACATTTAAAGTGTCTAGCGATAGTTTGATGAGACACAGTAATTATCTGTTTAATGGAGTGGTATATTATCCTCATTTGCAAAATTCCATCATTAAACTACGCTTGTCTTATATTACCACAGCACGAATTATACAGTAAGTCGTATTAAATTATAAATAATCATTAATAAAATATTAACTGTTTGACGATTAATTGTTAAATTAATATTTTACTTAATTTTGACAGTTTTATCAAAACTGGCAATTTTTTCTGACATCGATTGAAAACGCAATGGAGGTTTATGTAGTGAGCAAAGAATTCGAAATTCCGGAACTGTTCAAGCAATGCCGCAACTTTCTCGTAATACTAATGACAGATACGAACGTCTGTCGGCTACACGATTTTGCATGCGAACAGAGTGACACGATATTACAATACTATTGCTGGAAAATGTTCGATTCCCACTGGGAAACGATATTGAATGGCGAAGACTTTCTTCATTGCAAAAATCAAACTATCGAAAGATTCGTATCTCGTCCGATATATCCTGAAAATTTAACAGAATTTGTTCTGTTTTCTGCAATATACAATTGGGCGAAATTAAGAATTAGAGGGAAAGAAGAATCTAACGAAAATCTCGATGACATTATCATCGGAGAAAGATGTCGTGCTATCTTAGACCCCAATATATCTTGTGTTAGGTTTTTGACCATGAATAATGTTGAACTGGAATACATTTTCGAGAAACTACATTTACTAAAAGCAAATGAAATCCAAGCAATACGTGATTATTGAATTAACGTCGATTCGACAAATTTTCCAACTACAATTAATAAGGAGACTAGAGGAAGAGTACAGGATTGGTATAATAATTGCTTTATATACAGTTATCGCAGAAATTTAAGTAATATACGCAATACATATTTAGAAATGAAAAATTCTTTCGCTTGCCACGTAGTAGTGATGGAAGATTGCTTTATTGAAAGTTTGCAATTACCCATCACGCATTGTAATGTAGAAGGAATTTTGGTGAACATTCGAGGCATTGTAGGAATTAATTTTACTTTAGTCAACCTAGAATCTTTCTCGTGCCGTTCTGATGGACTAATCAGTCTGAAAGAACCGATATTTTTGGAAAAGAATTCTAACGCTTTTCTGGAAGCTTCTATTCCGAAAGAGGAATTGAAAGAAGAAAATTTAGTTCAGTTATTGAGCAGTGCGCAGATTTATATTTCCGATTCCGAATTTGCCGAACTGTGCAAAAATGCATCAGAAAAAGAGATAAAATCGAGAGCTGTGTTTTATTTCGATGTACATTTATATTTTTAGATATAAAAACAATTTAATTTACTTATTTTTGCACAAAAATAACAGTTATAAAAACAAGATTTAACGACATTTTATTGCATTCAAAATCTGAATATCCTAAAACTTTTCACTCTCCTTAAAGAAAGAGCAATTTAAAGCCGAGCATTCGAACATTTTGTAGCGTTGATATTAAAGTACCGTATATAAGCGACGTACAGTACAAGCCTGCTACTAACGCCATTTTTGAATTCAATATGGCAGATTACATTGTCTATATCTAAGTTGTCTGCTTCGTAAAACTGACAAGCTACATAATAGAAACAAATATTAAGTTAAAATTATTCACAATTGCGTTGCTATTAAAACTTCACGAAAAAGGTAATACAAAGACAAAATTTTGCATTTATAGTTTATCGATTTATTAAAACTAAAAAAAGAGTCAGAATTTAAACAATGATGTTGGTATAAAACTACTCTAATATATAAATTATTCTTTGGTTAAAATCTTATTTTCAAAAATGGTTTTTTAAAAACAAACGTCAACGCGACAATTGCATAATCCCTGATAATTAGTTTGAGTGTTGTGTTGCTTGAAATAGTTTCTGTTTGTTGTTATGCTCTTCTGAAAGCTTGGATACGAATTTCAGCAATAACTTCGGGAAAAAGCACATCAGAAAAGTTAGAAACAATGCAGAGAGGAGTATCACGACGTATCCTGGATTATCAAAATACTTTCTGAAAAACATGAATAAAATAACTGAAAATCTTGTATAGAAGAAATTAAGGCAATTACATTAGTACTTACTTCACCAACAATCTCATTATTTGAATAACGTATAAGAAATGAAGTATGAACGTTAAGTAGAGCGCTATTAGAAAGGCATCAAAACTACCCACCATCCGATAAATATATTCGTTAATTATAACCATCTTCATGATGAGAAAAGCAAAACTTGTTAAACATCTAACCTGAAAAATTATCAAACAAGAAGTTAAATGTAAAACAATAAAAAGGTTATTTCATATTTTGATAGCTCTCAAGTAAGATGAAATTACACAAAATTGCAAATAGGTGCTGGAAAACTTACAATGTTTCCATGATCTAGTCGATCGAGTGACACTGATAGAATAAAAACACACATCACAACATCATCTCCAGTAAAACCATTCATTTTCAAAATATGACTCAAAATCTGCCTTTTGACGATAAGAGAGATTCTGCTCTGATGTATTTATATCTCAAACTAATAAAGTATGCAAATTATGTCTTACGATTTAAGAAAAATTAAAATATCAATATTTAAATCGATAATAACCTTATGTTTTTGATAAATTTGTTAAAAATTATTTCTATATTGTTATGAAACAAAAGTGTTTTCTAATTTTTAAGTTAATTTCCATATTTTTACGTCGCTATTGTAATGCACGTGATATGAATTTAATATGAATTTTTTATTACATGAATTTTAAAAGAAGTAACGTTTCTAAACCTTTTCATAAAAGAAAATGGATATGCATAATAGAGACTTTGTCAGCGAGAAATATTCAGTGTCACGAAGAATCTCAAAACTATATTTGTGGATAAGTAACTTCGGTTGAGTCATTCAATCTGGAGAAACCAATAATGCCAAAATATAAAGAATACCTTAGTTCCTGAAATTAATAGTTATCGTGTCATATCAGTTCCTTGACTAGTGAAGAAAGATCTTGGTTAACCCGTGAAAGTAAACTCTAAAGGACATTTCTAAGATACAGAGCTAGCAATGAAGTGGTGTATCCCTTATTCAATTCCTGTATTCAGTACTATATCCATTATTCCTGTCTTCCAAAGAAGACGACAGGAATAATGGATACAGTAATAGAAAAAGGTTACGAGTAGTGTTGTAACGAATAGTATATTCGGCCTCAGGCCGAATACCGAATATTCGGCCAAACTATTCGGCTTGATTAACGCACGTACGAAAATTGGCGCGCAAACTGCATTATGGCAAGGATCCTGCTCTCTATTGGCCCGCTGTCACTACGCTTCGCCAATCGCGTTAATTCTTGGCAGTTGTAGCGGACAGACAAGAGTGTCATGGAAGTATGTGATAAATGATGATATCAAATGTGGATAACAATGAAATGACCTAAACGTGTAAATAACGGAAAAAGAACAGAGAAGGACCGCGAAGTGAAAATGTGAAAATAAATATGAAATTGAGTCGATAACAAAATCGAACAAGTCGAGGCAGCTTTTTGGCACGAAATTCGCGGCCGTCAATGCCAAACAATTGTTGTCATAGTCTTCGGAAAACTAAATGCTTGTAATGTAAGTCACTTAGCGTGCACGGGCGAAAGCCTGGGGCCGTTCGGGCTATCAAGCTGTCTGGAATCTGTGAAATCATAACTGTGACTTATATCGACGTCCTATCTGTCTCTTCTCTCCGTTATCACCAGGCTGAGTCACGTAATTGTAAAATGGGAACTCTACGACGGAAAAGTGACGAATCGAAAGTATCGTGAGCGCGTATTATGATGTATACACAGGTATACTTGGATTAGAGCGATAGAGGAAAGAGAAAGGGAAGAGCAAAGACGAGCGCTTAAAAAGAAGGATAGGCAGGGTCAGACCCTCAGATGTGCGAGGATTCTCCAACGATAGACGTGTACAGTACGTGTGCTGATCTTTGTAATTATAAATTGTGAATACATGTGACTAATATTATTTTCTTTTTATTTTGTGCATGTTACAAGTTATAAATAAATATAAACAAACAACACTAACTCGATAACATTAAATCTCAATACCAAAATGATTAATTTACTGTGTTTTTGTTATTTTTTACTCCTGTTTTTAGGTATTCGGTATTCGGCCGAATAGTGATTAGATATTTGGTATTCGGCCGAATAGTGAAAAATAGGCCGAATAGACCGAATACCGAATAGTAACCGAATATTCGTTACATCACTAGTTACGAGTTTTGGATTTTCAATTGGATTAAATTGATTGAATAAGGCAACACAACACGTGGGCGTCTGTCAGGTGTTGTCTCACGCGGGAATTTTTATGAGAAACGCTATTTAATACGTGATTGAAATCCGTATAACTACACTCAGTTATTCAGTTGCTCAGACCCAAACCCCACTACTATCACTGGTGTTATCCAGTGTGCTTTAAATATTATAATTAATTCTCGACCGTTAGTCGTTTATATATTCGTGAAAAATGAACCTCAGAAAAGTTTTTGAATCTAAAATTACATAGGATAATATCTGTTAAAGTATGAGAGTGTTGTCTGAAAAAGTCAGTCGTCAGAATACAATAAAGTCACGTTAATCAGTCAGTCAACAGCTCTGTGGATCCGAAATCAAATACGGGCTCAGTCCCAGAAATTTTTTAGAAATGGTCTGTCTCGGATTTGTTCAGTTCCCGTCTCACTACTGGTTCGTCCCCATTGTGGGCCTGACGAGTTCACGATGGGCAGTGACATAACTAGCCATTCCTGTGCCCTGTGCAAGAATTTGCATTTAGGCTCCTTAATTAATTAGGTTTGGGAAAATAATAAAACATATATATGCATTTGGACCCCCTTTCAAGAGGACCCTGTGCGGGTACACCTTCCTAGTTACGGCACTGACGATGGGTATGATTAAAAGACAATCCTAAAACACTTGGGAAGTATTATTTTTTCCTGTTTTCTGTATTGCTTTAGTCTTATGGGCTAAAGACACTCACGGGGCTACACAGTTATCATAATGTAAAACTTATTTTAATAATACAAATACTTCTTATAAATGTACACTTACAAAATTACACCACGAATGTTCTACAGTAGACTTCCTCACTTCTTATCTATTGTATCATACGGACGGACGTTTAAAATTAAAGAACAGTCAGTAGGAATTACATAAGGAGTCCCTAACTCTTTCCTTCACTACCCGAACACCGATTAAAAGCGAAATAAAATACAGTAGATTCTTTATTGTCGATCACTTACTAATCCAACACTCCACCGCAGGTTGATTGATATACGTGAAATTTTCATGTATTCTAGCTTGATGCATGGGAGAGACAATGATCTACAGTACTGTCAATCGCTAGTTGTCTGTTACACGTGCGGTCGACAAAACATTCGCAATCTTGATTAATACGACAAATTAACCCGTAAACGAAGTGTTTTTTTTACTGTACAGGTATGTACAAACTCCATTAATCCAACAACATGCTGTAATTACACGTACATCAGCTGGGCTCTTCTGTACGTCAGTATTGTTTAGTTATCTCCATTTCTAACACAAAACAATGGAAAATAAACTGTCTGCAGTGATATTTATCATCCATACTCTTTTAAATAATTTCACATTTTAAAGCAATTTCGCATAGTCAAATTACCTTCTCTAAACTGTAAATTTGTAATTATCTACCGACAATGCTAAAGAAATAAACACGTGTTTTTTATTTTAGTCTGTGATGAGTAGATTCTGAAGTATCTATCGGCTGATAAAATGATATTCATAATATATTTAAGCTACATAAACCAAAAGCCAAATTTCACATCGTTTCCATGAATTTATATCTCGGTGAAGTAGATTTCGAAGCAACAGGTACAAATCAGCAATTTACCCGAGTTCGCTCGCTCGCTTTAAGACTGCGTATTAGACAGACCTGTGGAGTCGGAATCGTGGAGTTTTGGTGTTTTAGCCGGAGTCGGAGTCGGTAGATTTTTACGCGACTCCATAGCCCTGGTATTAGAGCCATAATATAAATATTATTGAACAATCAGATAAAAAACATTACTAAAAAAATTGGTTTAATTTACGCTAGAGCCTCGGGTTTTTCCGCCTAGACAACGTGCGCTCTATGATGTAACTTTGACGTCTTTTCCACTTTTAATATGTAAAATTTATGTCATATTTTAGTGAATTTAACGAATTTACTATTTGAGAAATTGATTTACGTAATAAAAGCAGGATTTTAACTTAAAAGTGTGCCATTTTAGAGTATCGTCCACGATTAATTACACGAGAAATTTTTCAAAAAACACGTAATTTTATTTTTCTGATTTAATACAAATACAAGTCTAGGATGGTAAAAAAATTCTTAATTTTTTGATTAAAATCTTATTTAAAAATAAAACGTCAGACTATACATTCCCATAGATCATTACATCAAATCTTTTTCCACATTCTTCGAATTATCATTATGATTTTCCGTCAGTTTACAAACTAACAACAAAAACCAGTTTAGGGATTTGAAAAACACTAAATTTTCAATCAACAGCGACATAAAGATTGCGAAATCTCTATGATCAGCCATGTTAGGAAGAATAAACTTTCTGAAAACATTTAATAAAAGGGATGAAATAATTTAGTTTTATACGAAATTATTTACAATAAATAGTACTCACTTCATCACCCATCTGGTTACCTGTGTAAAGTATAACAGGACAATCATAAACATGAAATAGATCGTTACGGGAAAAACATCGAAACTTCCCACCAACTCATAAATATATTCGTTCAGAATGACCATAACCATGACGAGAAAGCTAAGACACGATAAACACGTCATCTGAAATTAAAATATATATCTATAAAGTACAACTTAGCTACCATAGTAAAGAGCTTGAAGGTATTAAAATACTCTAGATGGTTGTTCTAGAGGCTGAATTGAGTGCTGTAATTAAAACAAATTTTAATATTGCAATCACTATATCTAGAATAATAGTTAGAATCATTTTTTTAATAAATAAAAGCAGCTGGCAAAACGTAAATTTGTACAGTACTTCTGTGGNTTGTCTCGCCGTCTCTCGGTCTATCTCTGGCCATCCTAAGAGCAAGAAGACCTTATGGAATTTTAGTATACTGCTGGTAGAATCGTCCTACTTGAGCAGCTATCCTGACAGTAGCACCTACCAACAGGATAGCCTAATGTCTATTCTATCACTAAGGCCCGAAGAAGGATTTTATTAAGAAGAAATTAAATCTATTTAATTATTTAATTTTAGTAGCAAATACAATTTTTTGCATATAATTAAACAACTAAAGAATTTAGTGACTTAAGCTAGGTTGAAATTAAATAATGTCAGTTGCTTAACTTTCCAGGCAACATTTGGGGAACTATATAATATTTTATTTTAAAACTTTTATTTTTAATTATTATAAAATGGCAAAAAAGCTTAATTTTGAGGGTAGGGATGACTTTTATAAAAATTTGTAAATGATAATAACGAGTAAAATCATCATTAAGTCTGACCCTACTATATATGAGTTTAATGGACGATCCAGTTCAAGTGTAAATGAGGGGTATGATGTGAGTTTTACGTTTATACCAACGTTGACGAAATAGTATTTTCTGTTTAATAACATGGAAATTAACGAAATTACACAAAATATTTCCCTTCAACTATGTACCGGTCCATATAAAGATACAGCAAGACAGAACCTACAGTAAGCTCAAGTCTTTTTTGGAGAAAGTTATTTACTTTTATCGAGTAACCTGTTGACATTTAACTCCCTATTAAATGTATTATTAACCTGATATTTACAGATATCTTCAAGATGAGTGTATTGTCTATCTGTCGATCGAAAATGCAATGGAAACGTACATTCAAAGTAAATTTAATAAAAATTCAGAATTACTAAAGCAATGTCGAAATTACCTCATTCGGAAGATGTGCATTTCGAATGTCTGCCGGATCCACGACTTTGCCTGCGACCAGAATGACACATTGATACAGTATTATTGTTGGAAAGTGTTCGAAAGTGCTTCGACAATTATATTCAACGGAAACGACTTTTTACATTGTAGAAAGACAACTATAGACAGGTACGTTTCTCGTCCCATATATCCCGACTCTCTAACCGAAATTCGGCTCTTTAAAGCAATTTACAATTGGGCTTTAGTCAATATCGTTTACGACGAAAGAAGTAACTTCTGTCTTCCACCGGAGGAAATTCTTGCAGAACGTTGTCGACACGTATTAGAACCGTTTATTAATAAAATCAGATTTCTTAGTATGTCGAAAATTGAATTAGAAAGTGTAGTATTTCCGTTAAACATTCTTAAACACGATGAAATCTACGATATATGTTTCTATTTTTATGACATTTTACTAGTGTTTTTATCAAATATATCAACAATAAGTAATACTAGATCGAAAATATTCTATTCCGAGTTATTTAGGTATAAAAATCGCGAAAGTTTGAGAGAAGATCACGCCAGAACTTTCGACAATAGAAATCATTTCGAGTGAAAAATTTTTGTTAGTGAAGATTGCTTCCTTTGTAGTCTTCGATTGCCGATCCATTATGATGACAATGAAAATAGCTTTATAATCACCAAATTTAATGGTCTAATTGGAAATTCTCAATTATGTGTAGAAATCGAAAATTTGACATGCAATTCGTCTGGTGTCATAACTCTGACTGAGCCGATATTTTTGGAAAAGGATTCTGAATCATTATTTAAAGTTTTTATTTGTGGAAGTGAACGGTTTTATGAACGTACATTTTTACCGCATTCTGCTGACAGCTTTGTCTATGATTTCTGTCCTTGCCACTCATCTAAGACAACTGATATAATTTATATGGATGTTGAATTATACTTTTAAATCTTATTCTTGTGTTTACATAAAACATAATTTTGAAAAAGTGACTACGAATGTAAAAAGTATTGTTATGTATGTTGTTTTGTTTTATAGGTTATTAAATAAAATATTTTACACTTTAAATAAATTCTACATAAGCTCCATATGTAGCGCATAAAATATCCTGACAGCATTCAATTTCGTACCATGTGTTACAGAACATTTCAGCAATTATTCCTTCACCAATTCGCTTCAATGTTGTAAACCTTTGTTGTGTACATCGTGTATTTGACAAATCTCCAAGTAAAAAAATCTAGTGGTGCAATCTTGGGGAATCTAGGCGGTCAGGAAATTGGACTTGTACAGCCAATCTAACATTCAGGAAATTTTTCTTATAGGTAGTCCTAAACTATTAAATCCCAGTGTAGAGGTGCATCACATTGCTGGAAGTAAATGGCTGAAAGAAGCGAGAAATCTCGCTGGCAAGAGCGAATTTCTGGCTCTCGCAGATATCCGACAATGTTTGGTATTTATCGTGTCTCGCCTCTTCTCGCTGAATCCTGCTCAATACGTCTTGGCACGAGTAGAAGATGGCTTCTCATTTTTCCTTTGCTGTATATATAAAAATTATTTCTTCACATAAAATAATTTATAAAAAAATAAAATTATTATAAATAATTTTGCACATGTATTTAATTATTGCATAAAGCTAGAATTATTAAGATCCAGAACAAATAAATTGAAAAACTTTGGCTTTAAATAACTTTTTTCCAGGAACGAACATCTGGAATTGCTATTTATTACAAATTTAATGAGCCATTATGTATAAATCTATATTTTAATTACAGATGAAATAGGACAATGAATACTTTTATTGATAAAACTTCTGCTAGGATATGCGCTTCTGTTCTTATCATAGCGATAACGAAGTTACTAGTAGCAGAGTTTCCATCTGTTATTAAATTTTCGGAAGTTTTTTAATTACATTGGCCACTACTGTTTATTCTCGATTGTAAGATGTACCTGTTCTACACCGCTAACTGCTATACTTGCAAAGAAATTTATACAAATGAACATTCTGTAAATAAATTGCCAAAAAGAAAATTCAGGACGAAATATACTTTTAAACGTATTGTAACCAGCGATGATACAAAGATGTCAATATCTTTACAAATAGTAAAGAGTAATACAAATATTTTTTACAATAGATTTAAAACAAGTATTCAGTTGAAATGTTATTATGTTTCTGCTTGTACAAAATATAGATACAGTACTATATTAAGTTTAATGAATTTTCTTCACACCTTTAACTCCTAGAAAGGACGTAATGAATATACTAAAACACATTTACAAACTTCAGAATTTATAAGTAACTCAATAGATTATTATTCAGATATATTTTATTTTGAAATGTTCATTGAAGGTACAGAATGTATTAACAGATGGAAGATTTATTTCATTGGACTGCCATAACGATCAGTAAATAATAAAAAATATTATTCCTTGGTTAAAAGCAAGATTATATGTCATAAAAAGTTTCGTCAATAAATATTTTCCTCATATTCACTTTAATCTATAGTTAAAATACGATTAATGTGCACTTATGTATAAAATATCATAAAATTTGTAATAAAATAAGAAGTTTCTACCTATATTGCAGATGGCCAATTCATCTGGAGATTATAGGCAGGAATGTTTGAAGATAATTATTAATATTTAATTACTAATAATAAAATCATTGTTAATTGTTGAAAACTTTTTATTGTTAGCTGGTCTAGAATATTCTAAATTTTACTTTTATGGACTTTTTCCACCCTTGGGCGTTAAGAAGGTTTTTTTTTAAATCCATGAATGGCTCAAGCACACGGCCAGTTGATGAGAAATGGAGCCCGATTAATCCGGGACAGATCTTTTTCTGAAAATTCCTGTAGTGTTTCAAACCGCTCGGAATCACTCCCGAATCCCCATAGTGATAAGTCCGATTCCTCGGCCATCCTGCTGGCATTCTTACTTTCATTATTTTTGTAACAGAATGTAACATAGCATAATATGATATGATATTATCTTAAATTTAATATTAATTTTTACTTTTAAATCCAGTGACTGAAGTCTTCCAAGCAGACTCGCAGGTACGATTTAGATTGGATTTGGTTAAATAAGGAAATTCAAATTATGGGAGATGCGTGAAGTGAAAAGCCTTCCAAGAAGACTTTCTATAGGAAACTAGGACATATTAGACCCATGAAAAACCAACAGTCTTTTCACTATTTATATTAAAATATTGTCTAAGTTAAGCTGTTTTCGAAGAGAAAAATCCAAGATCTGAAGAAGCTCTCAGATTTACCAATCATTTTAATACAGTACATTATATCAATAGATCTACATAAAACAATACTCGATAGGAATATCAATCCATAATTACTCAATTGTCAATTGCATCAACTTAATGACATCTATTCTTTGATAAAGAATATATTATTTATAAATTAATATTTTTCGGTTTAGTTGGTTTCATAGCTATGAGATAAGCAGTCTTTCATCATGCTTTACTATTTCAGCCATTCTCTGTTATTTACAGATTGGAGGCTGCGCATAAATTACACTGTCTCAACGAATAAGAAACTAGCAAATCTCACCAACAAGTGAGTGAATTCAGCTGCTGATTGCTCCAAAATTTGCGTCTGACAAGGGTATCAAGTTTAACGGGTTTCCTTCACATGTTTAACTTCTAGACAGGGCGTACTTCCTTGAAAGTTTTCCTAGTAAGCTCGTAACTTAGGAGGACCCGTAATAAATCATCTAGTGTTATCCTTATCCCATTAACCAAACTAATAGCCAGTTCTGGACAGAATTATTCTAGTTATGCAGCTGAAAATTTACATTTTTAAACCAAATATGCTTTTTTCATTAATACTAATGTTGATATATAAAGTGCAGTTCTTCGGCACGTTAAACTTCAGGGTTTCAAAACTACAAAGTTTAGTAAGAATCAATAATAAAAATTGACACCGATTTTATTTAAATTATCGAAGTTTTCAAACGTATAAAAAGTAGAGTTCACACACGCGTTGCAAAAAGTTTTGCAATTACTTTTTTATTAGAAAGCAATAATTACGATTTTATTGTTTTTTCTATTTTTATTTAATATACGTTAAAAAATAATGGCAGATGTCCACTGAACTGCAAATAATATAAATAGCGTGAGTATTTTAGACGAGTTTATAATCACTCTAGCGAATCCTGTGGGTCCTTGGAGGAAAAAAATACTTAAATAAAATCCACTTCAACGATGAAAATATTTATTGCTTTTGTTTTAATCTCAGCTTTACTACTCTTAGGTAAGAACAATTCTGCATTTTATACTTATATATTCTGATACCCGGTCCAATAACTGCCACACGCAGAATGTTACCTCATTCTCGGTNTGGAGATTATAAGCAGGAATGTTTGAAGATAATTATTAATATTTAATTACTAATAATAAAATCATTGTTAATTGTTGAAAACTTTTTATTGTTAGCTGGTCTAGAATATTCTAAATTTTACTTTTATGGACTTTTTCCACCCTTGGGCGTTAAGAAGGTTTTTTTTAATCCACGAATGGGTCAAGCACACGGCCAGTTGATGAGAAATGGAGCCCGATTAATCCGGGACAGATCTTTTTCTGAAAATTCCTGTAGTGTTTCAAACCGCTCGGAATCACTCCCGAATCCCCATAGTGATAAATCCGATTCCTCGGCCATCCGGCTGGCATTCATATTTTCATTATTTTTGTAACAGAATGTAACATAGCATAATATGATATGATATTATCTTAAATTAAATATTAATTTTTACTTTTANTCCGGCTGGTATTCTTACTTTCATTATTTTTGTAACAGAATGTAACATAGCATAATATGATATGATATTATCTTAAATTTAATATTAATTTTTACTTTTAAATCCAGTGACTGAAGTCTTCCAAGCAGACTCACAGGTACGATTTAGATTGGATTTGGTTAAATAAAAAAATTCAAATTGTGGGAGATGCGTGAAGTGAAAAGCCTTACAAGAAGACTTTCTATAGGAAACTGGGACATATTAGACCCATGAAAAACCAACAGTCTTTTCATTATTTATACTGTATTAAAATATTGTCTAAGTTAAGCTGTTTTCGAAGAGAAAAATCCAAGATCTGAACAAGCTCTCAGATTTACCAATCATTTTAATACAGCACATTATAACAATAGATCTACATAAGACAATACCCGATAGCAATATCAATTTATAATTACTCAATTGTCAATTGCATCAACTTAATGACATCTATTCTTCTTTGATAAAGAATATATTATTTATAAATTAATATTTTTCGGTTTAGTTGGTTTCATAGCTATGCGATAAGCAGTCTTTCATTATGCTTTTCTATTTCAGCCATTGGCTCTTATTTACAGATTTTCGGTTGCGCATAATTTACACTATCCCAACGAATAAGAAACTAGCAAATCTCACCAACAAGTGAGTGAATTCAGCTGCTGATTGCTCCAGAATTTGCGTCTGACAAACGTATTAAGTTTAACGGGTTTTCTTCACACGTTTAACTCCTAGACAGGGCGTATTTCCTTGAAAGTTTTCCTAGTAAGCCCGTAACTTAGGAGGACCCGTATTAAATCATCTAGTGTTATCCTTATCCCATTAACCAAACTAATAGCCAGTTCTGGACAGAATTATTCTAGTTATGCAGCTAAAAGTTTACATTTTTAAACCAAATATGCTTTTCTTATTAATACTAATGTTGATAAATAAACTGCAATCTTTCAGCACGTTAAACTTTAGGGTTTCAAAACTACAAAGTTTAGTAAGAATCAATAATAAAAATTGACACAGGTTTTATTTAAATTATCGAAGTTTTCAAACGTATAAAAAGTAGAGTTCACACACGTGTTGAAAAAGTTATGCAATTATTTTTTTATTAAGAAGCAATAATTACTATTTTATTGTTTTTTTGTATTTTTATTTAATGTACGTTAAAAAATAATGGCAGATGTCCACTGAACTGCAAATAATATAAATAGCGTGAGTATTTTAGATGAGTTCATTAATTACGCCAGCGAATCTTGTGGGTCCTTGGAGGAAAAAAATACTCAAATAAAATCCACTTCAACGATGAAAATATTTATTGCTTACATTTCAGCTTTACTACTCTTAGGTAAGAACAGTTCTACATTTTATACTTATATATTCTGATACCCGGTCCAATAACTGCCACACGCAAAATCTAACGAGAATGTTACCCTCATTCTGAGTACGACGAAATACAGCTTAATACTATGGGA